AACGAAAGTGGCTGCTCGCGCCGTTGGTCAGGTGATGGCCACTAGCGTGGTTCAGGAGCGTCATCTGTGGCTCAACCTGGCGGATACGCGGAGCGCTGAGCGGACTCGTCTGCTCGACGCTCCGCTATCCCAGGTTGGCCTTTTCGGCGGTGCGGTCGAGGACTTCGCCCAACAGTTCTCCACTGCCCAGAAGCAGACGGAGGCCATCAAACACATCCTGCCCCGACGACCAGCTGCTGCCTCCACCCAGTCGTCGGCACAGGTGCCTCCCCTGCTCGCCGCCGAGGACGCCCCCCTGCGGCTCCCCTCCCTCCCGCCCGGCCCCAGCAGCAGCCTTCACCCGGGCCCCGGCGTCGAGGAGGCCGCAGGCCGGCGTCACAGCCCCCTCAGGCCGCTCGCCCCGCTAAACGCCAGGCCAAGCGAAGATCCTGACACGGGCGGCTCAGTGTCGATCTCGAGTCTTTCCCAGGAGGCGGTAGCAGGCCCCTCCTTCCCCCGGTGGAGGGCCGGGGGAGAATCTTTTGTTCTCAGCTCCCCGCTGCTCACCCACGGGTGGGCAGCACCCTGAACTGGTTAAAGAAAGACTTGACATCCTCACTGAGCTCACAGACTGGAGTGAGTGCCCCCGATGCCCCAGTGTGTCGGCCCACTCACTCCTCTCTGTCTCGGAGGGCGCGGAAGGGTGCGTGTGTCGTCCCCGGGCTACACCAATCCCTTCCCCCTCTCTCGCCAGACCCCCGGCAGAACGGACCCCCGTGGAACGCTCCGCTTTCCCTGGTCCCTTCTGGTCTCACTTCCTGGAAGCCTGGCTAGCGCTTCCCGGGGTATCCCGCTGGGTCATCAGAACGATCAGATTCGGCTACGCGATTCAGTTCGCACGGTCTCCTCCCCGCTTCAGGGGAGTTCGCTCCACGATAGTCGGTGGCAATGCCCCAGTCCTGAGAGCGGAGATTGCGACCCTGCTGGCGAAGGGTGCAATCGAGACGGTCCCTCCAGCCGAGGTGAGGTCCGGGTTTTACAGCCCCTACTTCATTGTCCCCAAGAAGACCGGTGGGTTACGACCGATCCTGGACCTGCGCATTTTGAACCGTTCTCTCCATCGACTACCGTTCAAAATGCTCACGGCCAAACGCATTTTCGAATGTGTTCGGTATCAGGATTGGTTTGCAGCGATCGACCTGAAGGACGCGTACTTCCATGTGTCCATCTTACCTCGACACAGACCGTTTCTTCGGTTTGCCTTCGAGGGCCAGGCATATCAGTACGCCGTTCTCCCATTCGGGTTAGCTCTGTCCCCTCGCGTCTTCACGAAGATCGTCGAGGCAGCCCTTGTTCCCCTTCGCGAACACGGGGTTCGCATCCTGAATTATCTCGACGACTGGCTGATACTAGCACACTCTCGAGCTCAGCTTTGCGAACACAGAGACTTGGTGCTCCGGCACCTAGCCTGTCTGGGCCTTCGGGTCAACCGAGAAAGAGCAAACTTTGCCCCGTGCAGAGGATCTCTTTTCTCGGCGTGGAGATAGACTCGGTCGCCATGTCCGCGCAGCTCACGAACGAGCGCGCGCACTCACTGCTGACTTGTCTTCGTCAGTTCGAGGGCAAGAGTGCGGTTCCACTGAAACTTTTTCAGAGGCTCCTGGGGCATATGGCATCCGCGGCCGCGGCAACGCCGCTCGGTTTGCTTCATATGAGACCGCTTCAGCTGTGGCTTCGCGATCGAGTCCCGAGGTGGGCATGGCATCGCGGCTCGCTCCGAGTCCCAGTGACTCCGGCATGCCGGCGAACCTTCTTCCCGTGGTCGAACCTCAGCTTTTTACGGACGGGCGTCCCTATTCAGCGAGTTTCCAGGCATCTCATCGTCTCCACGGATGCATCTACCACGGGTTGGGGTGCCATGTGCAATGGGCATGCAGCCGCCGGCTCCTGGACGGGGGCCCAGCGCCTCATGCACATCAATTGCCTCGAGCTGCTGGCAGTACGGCTCGCCCTGCACCGCTTCAGAGCGTTGCTCAAGGGCCAGCATGTGCTTGTCCGCTCAGACAACACTACGGCTGTAGCGTACATCAACCACCAGGGGGGTCTACGCTCGCGCCAGTTGTCGCAGCTCGCCCGCCACCTCTTGATATGGAGTCAGAAGCACCTGAGGTCCCTTCGTGCAGTTCACATTCCTGGAGACCGGAACTGGGCAGCCGACGAGCTGTCTCGGGTCCGCCCTATCTCCGGCGAGTGGCGACTCCATCCCCAGTCGGTCCAGCTGATCTGGAAAGAGTTCGGGGAGGCACAGATAGATCTGTTCGCCTCCCGGGACTCAGCCCACTGCGCCCAGTTTTATTCTCTGACCTGGGGCACTCTCGGTTCGGATGCGCTGGCGCACAGCTGGCCACGGGGCCCACGCAAGTATGCGTTTCCCCCAGTGAGCCTCCTTGCACGGGTGTTGTGCAAGATCAAGGAGGACGAGGAGCAGGTCTTGCTGGTAGCCCCCTACTGGCCCACCAAGACGTGGTTCTCCGATCTCATGCTCCTCGCGACAGCACCTCCTTGGCCTATTCCTCTGAGACAAGACCTACTCTCTCAGAGACGGGGCACTCTGTGGCACCCTCGTCCCGATCTTTGGAGGCTGCACGTGTGGCTCCTGGACGGGACGAGGCAGGTTTGAGTTCGCTGCCACCTGCGGTGGCGGCAACCATCACTTCCGCAAGAGCGTCGTCCACGAGGCACCTTTATGCGTTGAAGTGGAACCTCTTCGTCAATTGGTGCTCTTCTCGCGGAGAAGACCCCTGGAGATGTCCGATCAGTGTCGTGCTTTCCTTCCTGCAAGAAGGGTTGGAGCGCAGGCTGTCGCCCTCCACCCTTAAGGTCTATGTATAGAGGTCTATCGGTAGAGTTGAAGTTTCTGTCCATGAAGACAGCACTCCTGGTTGCATTGGCCTCCATCAAGAGGGTGGGGGACCTGCACGCATTCTCCGTTGACGAAGCGTGCCTGGAGTTCGGGCCGGCTTACTCTCACGTGATCCTGAGACCCCGGCCTGGATATGTGCCCAAGGTTCCCACCACTCCCTTCCGGGACCAGGTGGTGAACCTGCAAGCGCTGCCCCCGGAGGAGGCAGACCCAGCCTTGGCACTGCTCTGTCCGGTACGTGCTCTCCGCACCTATGTCGACAGAACGCAGTGTTTCAGGACCTCAGACCAGCTCTTTGTCTGTCATGGAGGGAGCCAGAAGGGAAGGGCTCTCTCAAAGCAACGGCTGTCCCACTGGATAGTGGATGCCATTGCTTTGTCTTACCAGCAGCAAGGCCTTCCGTGCCCCCTTGGTGTGACGGCCCATTCCACTCGGAGTGTAGCCTCCTCTTGGGCTTTAGCGCACGGCGCCTCGCTAACAGACATCTGCAGAGCTGCAGGCTGGGCGACACCCAACACCTTCGCCAGATTCTATAATCTGCGAATTGAGCCGGTATCCTCTCACGTACTCGTTTCGGCCAGTTCTGGATCCGCTCAGGTGTCTTCGCTTGCTCGCCACTCCACTCCCCGGACTGGATAAGTGCGATATTTCCTCAGTTCTTCCATTGAAGTCTTGAGTCCTCCAGCACCGACGATGCGGGCACCACTGCGTTGCTCTGGATGCTAGCTAGGTGCCTCCATGCGCACGGTTCCCCATGGTAACCGTCTCATGTGTATTATCCACTGTAAGCCTCTCTGAGCATGTGTCTTCCCTTGGCAAGCCATCTGCCACCCCTGGAGTTTAAATCAGTAGCCACCTGCGGTTGGTACTCCAGTGTTCCATATGCGTTCCTATGTGGCCATATGTGTATTCATAAGTCCTCCCTTCGGTAGGCAGCTGGTAGCATGTCCCCTTCGGGATATGTTTCCCAGTGTACCTTGGTAATCCTGTGTCAAAGTCGGATACCCCAAAAAAAAAAAAAAAAAAAAGAGGTAAGGCTCCGGGGTTCAGTCTTTCGCAGGGCACTGGAAGACAGCTTGAAGATGGCGTGATGGCACAGACCCCCAATCTCCGTCACTTCTGACGTAACTCGAAGTGACTACGAAAGGGAACGTCTCGGTTACGTATGTAACCCTCGTTCCCTGAGTAGGGAACGGAGACGTTACGTCTCCCTGCCACTTCTGCTGTATCGCTGGGTAGATGCCGAGTTCAGTCCTGGCTCCTCAGCAAAGACATACTGCGGTTGCGTTCACTTCCTCCTTTTATACTCACGGAGTAGGGCGGAGTACGCTATGCAAATTTCCGCAGCCCCAAGGCATTGCATGCCATTGGCTCGTGTTTAAATACTCGAAGAGGATTGGCTTTCTATGCGAAATCCCCCAATCTCCGTCACTTCTGACGTAACGTCTCCGTTCCCTACTCAGGGAACGAGGGTTACATACGTAACCGAGACGTTTCCCCCCGTGTTCCCCCTCGGCCCTGCCTTCCTGCACCCGGTCCCATTTTGTTGGCTTTTGTCTGCCCTGACTGTTTTTCACCGGCTGGGTTATTTTTGTTTTATGTTTACTATGTAAAGCATATTGTTGACTCTGCGCCTGAGTCCTGCCTCCATCTCTCATTCTCACATGGCTATCAAAGTGATGTTTGAAGAACATTTTAGAAAATTACTTTTGTAAATATTTTCATAATTTAAATCTTTCATGTCATGGATGACTTTTTAATGTATATACTGTATGTGATTAAGCTTATACTGTAAGTGGCAGAGAAAACAGGCAGTTAAATCGTTAATCACACTCATATTGTAAAGAACATGTTTAAACTGAAATGAATCAATGTTGAACTGACTTGAGCTGAATAATGATGTCTTGTCTTCTGTAGAGCTGCTTTACAGCAGAATTTTAATTTGTATCATGTTTGATGAAGTCCGCATTGCTGATCTTTGTTTTCCTGTTTATTACTGTGAAACTGCTTTTAAACAACCTGTATTGTACAAAGCACTACATAATTAAAGGTGACATTACTTTAAGCTCTTTGTGTGTGGTGAGATAATGACTATGTGATGTTTTGGGATTTTCAGGAACTGGAGAAGGAGCGGACCGACCTGCTAGAGGATGTGACGGCCAATAAACGTAAAATGAAGGAACTGGAGGATAATTTACTTTTTAGGCTGACCAGCACGCAGGGCTCCCTGGTCGATGACGAGAGCCTCATCACAGTGCTGGGAAACACCAAACGCACTGCAGAGGAGGTCACACAGAAACTTCAGATTGCTGCTGAGACTGAGATCCAGATCAATGCGGCCCGCGAGGAATACAGACCCGGTAGGCACTTAGAGCTTATTTTTCCTTTAGTTCACCTAACATGTATCCCAGAATTGACTCACCCTCAAGCCATCCTAGGTGAATTTGAGTTTATTTTTTCAGCCAAACACAATCAGAGTTATATATATATATATATATATATCCTGGCTCTTCCAAGCTTTATAATGGGAGTGTGTAGAGCCTGAGATTTTGAAGCCCGAAAATGCACCATCATATCCATCATAAAAATAATCCATATGGCTCTAGGGGGCTAACAGAGGCCTTCTGAAGTGAAGCGATTGAATTGTTATTTTTTTAAGGCTTTTTTCAAAGATGTGTAAATAAATTTGATCAATCTTTTCCTCTAGTTTGTTAGTCTTATGAAGTGAAAATGTAAAAGGTAAATTATTAGAATAGCCACAATCTGTACAGAACTCACAAACTTCTGTAAACTGAACCCTTTGAGTTGACACCTGGTATTAATATTAAGGCTGTCAAGTGATACAATTTTGTAATCTAATTAATTACATGATGTTCTGATTCATTAAAGGGTTAGTTCACCCAAAAATGAAAATTAAGTCATTAATTACTCAGCCCCATGCTGTACCAACCCCGTAAGACCTTTGTTCATCTTCGGATCACAAATGAAGATATTTTTGATTGAATTTGAGAGCTGTCTCACTACCACATTGGCTGCCTAAGGGACTGGCTCTTGACGGCCCAGAAAGTCAATAAAGAAAATGTTTAAATATCCCATGTGACTACCGTGGCTCAACTATAAGTTTATCAAGCGACGAGAATACTTTTTGTGCGAAAAAACAAACAAAAATAACGACTTTATTCGACTATTCCTTTTCTTCCTTGTTGGCCTGAAACGAGACTTCCTTAGATTTCCATGATGCATGCGCGAGAATTGCAATCTCCTTCAACCACTTCAGTTCAGTTCTCGCGAATGCGTAATGGAAATCTAAGGAAGTCTCGTTTCAGGCCAACATTGAAGAAAAGGAATAGTCGAATAAAGTCGTTATTTTTGTTTGTTTTTTCGCACAAAAAGTAGTCTCGTCACTTGATAAACTTATAGTTGAGCCACGGTAGTCGCATGGGATATTTAAACATTTTCTTCATTGACTTTATGGGCCGTCAAGAGCCAGTCCCTTAGGCAGCCAATGTGGTAGTGAGACAGCTCTCAAATTTAATCAAAAATATCTTCATTTGTGTTCCGAAGATGAACGAAGGTCTTACGGGGTTGGTACAGCATGGGGGGGGGGTAGTAATTAATGACTTAATTTTCATTTTTGGGTGAACTAACCCTTTAAGTATACATTTTTTATTATTATTTATGAAATAAAAGCTGTTAGTAGATGGCGGTAAATGTCTAAATTAGCGAGCATTCTGGCGCAATATGGCTGCCGTTGCATCATCCATGTGGATGCTGCACATTGGTGGTGGTTGAGGAGATTCCCCCTGCCATTTGTAAAAGCGCTTTGAGTGCAGAGAAAAGTTATGCATAGATGTAACAAATTATTAATATTATTATTATGTAGTCACAAAATCCGACACTTTTCCCTTGAGTTTCCCTTTTCCCTCCAATGTCAAAGGGATCATGTCTAGTTGCATCTGAGACTTCTGTTAATACCAGATGTAAATACTGTCTCTTGTGTATTTTCTGAATGTAGTTGCCACAAGAGGAAGCATCTTGTACTTTCTGATGACAGAGATGAGCATGGTGAACGTGATGTATCAGACCTCCCTGCGCCAGTTCCTGGGCTTGTTCGACTTGGCCTTGGCAAAGTAAAACTCATTTATCAATTCATACCTTATTCCTTACTTAAATTAGTTTTTCAAAGACAAAATGGCATGTATTTTTGGTCTTCATCACCAAGCCAACATTTCCTGATGAGGCCAATGTAGGTTTAAAGGGTTAGTTCACCCAAAAATGAAGATTCTGTCATTAATGACTCACCCTCATGTTTTCCCAAGAACGTAAGCCCTCCGTTCATCTTCGGAACACAGTTTAAGATATTTTAGATTTAGTCCGAGAGCTTTCTGTCCCTCTTGAAAATGTTTGTACGGTATACTGTCCTTGTTCAGAAAGGAAATACAGACATCAACAAAGTAGTACATGTGTACTTAGAATTTTTTGAAGCATCGAAAATGCATTTTAGTCCAAAAATAACAAAAACTACGACATTCAGCATTGTATTGTGCTCTGGTTCTGTTGTCAATCCACGTTCATGAGTCCACTGTGACACTGATGACGTAAGACTCTGCTGTTATCTGGTGCGTCCGTGTATTTGGGTTCAAATAAATATGGCTGTGCAACCCGGTCTCATCCCAAGACGTCATATAACTGACGTTTTGGGACGTCTTTTGACCATACGTCAATATTCGCCTTTTTAGGGCCCCCTTAAACGTCGGTAGATGAGGTTATGGGATCCTAACTCTACCCCATACCTAAACCTAACCCGTCACCTAACCCGTCACCTAACTGAAGTTAAAGGTAAAGCGTCAGTTGTATGACGGCCCGGGATCGCCATCTACCGACGCATAAGGGGGCCCTAAAAAGGCGAATATTGACGTATGGTCAAAATACGTCCCAAAACGTCAGTTATATGACTTTTTGGGATGAGACTGTGTTAGGCTGTGCAAAAAAATGCAAGTCTTCCTCTGTGTCGAAATCCTTAGACATGTTTGCGAAGACTGTTTTGTTTAAAGCTTGCATCACCCTTAGACTGTGAACGAAGCTCTTTCGCACCAGATACATGTCAGCAGCGTCTTACGTCAGCAGCGTATTGACAACACTGAATGCGGATTGACAACAGAACCGGAAGACAATGCAATGCTGAATAAAGTCTGAGATTTTGTGATTTTTGGACCAAAATGTATTGTCGATTCTTCAAAATATTCTAACTAACCCACTGATGTCACATGGACTATTTTGACTGTCTTTATTTCCTTTCTGGATAAGGACAGTGTACTGTGTATTAATTTTCGATGGAGGGACAGAAATCTCTCGGAATAAATCTAAAATATCTTAAACTGTATTCCGAAGATGAACGATGAAGATGATGAAGATGAGGTCTTACGAGCTTGGAACGACATGAGGGTGAGTCATTATTGACACAATTTTCATTTTTGGGTGAACTAACCCCAAGGTATGGGCCCCAAATGTTTTGTCCAAGGTTCCAAGGCAGATCTGAATTAACTCTGGTCAGACTGTAAATGATATTCAAAAGGGCTAGTTCAGATAGGGCCGACACAGAGCCTGCGGACAAAGCCATTTTTGTGGCTACACGTGGCTCCACCATGAAATATCTGTTGGCTGATGTCCAAATGTAAATTGACAGGATATTGGTGTTATAAAATAATGCCTGTTGTTCAGATTGTCCATGTGAAATGTGAGAGTGCATTGAGTATGGTTTTACATAAGATGCCAACTTGTTTCTTCCTCTTGGAGAGTAGGTCCTCAAAGAGTCCAATTACAAGCAAGCGGATCGCCAAAATCATAGAGTACATGACCTTTGAGGTGCACAAGTACGCAGCTCGGGGTTTGTATGAAGAACACAAGTTCCTGTTCACCCTGCTGCTCACTCTCAAGATCGACATGCAGAGCAACAGGGTCAAACATGAGGAGTTCCTGACCCTTATTAAAGGTCAGAAACCAACCCGTCTTACTCAAGTCAGTCTCTCTCAGTCTCTCCTTTTTAACTGTTTTTCTACATTCAAAGACTTTCTCCTCCTCCATAGTTTCTTTCTATTTTTTTTTACTGCATATCTTACGTAATAAGTTTAGACACCTTTTCTCATTCTTTATTATTATATATCCTTTATTAATAGGGTACATACAGGTTTTAAGGCTTTCTTTTGGAGCGGTGGGTTTAGGCAGAACTGAGCAGCAGGAACCCATCAGAGCCAGACTTCTACAGCTATTAGTGTGCTATGAATGAAGCACAGTGGTGCCTTGTGACAAGCTGTGAGGTTGAATGCCAGTACATTTTATGTAAGGCTACTTAGTACATTGTGTTGCATACTTGCATTAGTTGAGACATATTAAACATTCAAATAGCCATATTTTTTTTAAAGGAATCTTTCAAGTTCAATACAATTTGACATGCACCGTGTTTCAAATGTATAGCCTCAAAAAGACTGTGGTTTTGCCATTAGAAGCTTTTGTGATTTTTCTTTCCTCTGGGTAACAAGAAAAATCATATTATTGGCTCTTTGCAATTTGTACATGTTGTTCATGGGGAGTCCTTGGTGACTCTGTAGATTGATGAGCTTCTATGTGATTACCATGTTGGTTCATGTGCTTTTGCTTCATAAAAAGCATCAGATCCACAATTTAATCACTGAGAAATCATAGCCTTGCGGGTCAGCGAAGTGGCCCATTACCCAGAAGGTCAATTTGATTCCCTGTGCTGGCAGTGGACGTCAAGACAGTTAATACCATTCTGCTCTTTAATGCACTCTTGTGAGAGCCTCTCTCTCTCTCTTTGCTGCCATGTTGCTTGTCTTGCTTGTCCCCCATAGAAATGAGCTTTTCTCAAGATTTCTCAAGTTATAACATTTGCAAAACAAGAGAGGTTTGTTTGTACCTTTACTAGATAGTATTTCAAGAACAAAACGTTCCTCAGACAAGATGAGTACAAGAAAACAATGTATTTTATTAATTACAAAAGTGTATAAAGCCAATATTTCAGTTAAAGATACTCAAAACAATTTAACCCAAAACTCAATAAATGGCCAGTATAACAACAATAGACTAGAAAACACGTCTTGCTTTAACATCTACCATTTAACTAAAAAATGTAATATAACTGCTCCACATTTATTTGATACAAAATAATAAAATTATGTTTTTTTAATTAGTGATACAACCTTCTGTAATGTGGGGAGCAGGTAGAGATGAGGATCTACTTACCAGGGGTTTGTTCGTAATAGAAAAATCAACAACAATCAGTAACATGAGGAGCAAATAGAAAGTGCGGCACCTGGCCACCAAGGATTTATACATTTAGTCATGGGAAATGTTGGTATTATTAAAAAAAAATCAAATTTATTGTTTTGGTGGTTGTTTGCTCTGACTAGGTAGCGAGTTGTTGGCTAGCTAAGTGGCTCAGATGGTAGCTTGCCATCTGATAGCCACGGCTCATGGCTAGCTGTCATTAATCTGGATAATCAATAAATCAATTAATAGCACAATAAAAAAAATAAAAAAAAGCTTGATAATTATTCCGGCCGCGATAAATCTCTCCCTCTACCAAAGAGACTGGATGACAAATCCGTTAAAGACATAACCGACATATTTTACGTGAATACTCTCCAAAACGGACATTTAAACATAATTTTGTGTGTATTTGTCCATTCAGACACGAAACAGAGCTCAATTCATGACTCGCTGTATAGGGGTCTATGGCTGCATGCTTCGACTCGGGTGTGTGCGCACAGAAAGATGAAACTTGATACAATATGAGACATTTCTTCTATCCTTTTCTTTTGTTATAGAATAAAATATCAGTTCGGCTGATTTGGCTGTTGTTGCGTTGGTCATCAAGATGGCGGGGCAAAGCTGCAGTGACGTCATGTGAACCGAACAAATAGACTGAACACTGTTTTACAGGGATCTCCCAGTCACATGACCCCTTGCTGCGTGTCAGCCATTTTGACGGAATACATCCGTCAGCCACTCAGTGGCAATGGTTCTATTATTAGGGGTGGGTATCCCCAATAATAGATCCATTGCCGTGGGTAATATTGTAACAATCGGCCTAATCGGTAGAGTTACTTAGTAAAATTGGGGTCAGATTAAACTGTGTGAGTTTTATCTTAAGTGTTTTAAAATATGAGACAACAGAAATAAAGTGAATAAATAAAGTGTATTTACAAACTTTCACAAGGAACTTAAAACAACACAATAAAACTAGAAAACTTAGGCTGTTAAAAGAATAGAGTCCATTGGTTCCATACCCTAAAACAGACCTTAAGAGTCCCAGCGTGCTGTAAGTCCCTACAATCCAACTGTAGTGATAATCCAATGAAAAGTGATGAGGTTTGCTGGAATGGAAACTCCTCAATCCCACTTTGGTCGTCTTGACAGAGTGTTTGTTTGCCATGCTGCTTCTTTTATGCTGGCTATTTCCTGTTTCCTATCATGTGATCACTCCCATGACAGGCAGCCTCAAAATCATTTAAAGACATACAGTACACACATAAAATAGATAAGAGGAATAAAATTGACTAAAATGACTAAAACAACATGTAAACCTATTAAAACTCTAATATACATAAAATCATCATAATATAAATAAAGTGGTTTAAAACATGTGTCATGTGTCAAGTCACAATATATATATATACTTATAATTATTTTTTTATAATTAGCCTACATATTGCAATACTTTGTGCAGTACTGATATAATTGTATAAATGCACTTATATATTATAATTATTTTTATAATTGGCCTTATAATTAGCCTAAATATTGCAATACTTTACAGTATTTATATAACTGCGTGAGCAGATATCTCGATACTGAACAGAATTTATTTTTTTCCTCCACCACTATCTATTATCAGTGCTGAACACCTACAGTAATACACATGCGCATGACGTCCTCGACTTCAGAGTATCGAGTTTGTGTTGTTTCCACAGAGACCATTTTCAAAAACGTCCACTTTGAAAGCCCCCTTGTTCTCTCTTCAGTTGTCCGATATTGTGTGTGCAAGGCACACTGTTTCGTGTTGTTTTCTCGTTCTGTGGATTACCTGCTTTTGAGTTATTTAATAAAACTTGTTTTATTTGATACTTTTTGGCATTTCTTTATCATGTCAAACAAATGACAGCTTTTACACTGTCCCGTTTTGTACAATTGAAAAAATAAATAAATAAATAAACATTTAGGCAATTTCGCTATACTATAGGAATGCCTAGAGACTGCTTAAGGGTTTTGGGCTAAACCAAGTCCATCAGGGCTAACACACCCTCATACAGTACATCCGGGAAATTCACCTGACCTGCCTCATCATGGCTCGGACAGAACTCAAACGGGTCCTTCTTGCTGTGAGTCAACAGTGCAAGTGCTACCCACTGAGCAACTGTGATATAGTCAAGTCACATTTCTCCATCCAATCTGATGGAGTTTGGTTCCTTGCCACTGTCGCCTTGCTTTTGGCTTGCTTTGAGCTTGCTCAGTTGGGGTTATTTAGTGTTTAGCAATGTTGTTGATCTGTGTTGTGCTACTTTCATGTTATCAGTGTGAAGCTGCTTTGATACAATCTGTATTGTGAAAAGCGCTATATAAATAAATGTGACTTGACTTAGGTCGTGACTTGACTTGATATAGGCAAATGTTTTGATTAAATTTGATATAATAAGTTAAACTGTTTAATGTTGATACCAGTTCTGTGAGTTGGCATTCATTAACCTGCTAATCAAATTATGAAGTGAGCAGTTGGGCAGGGTTAACATGTTGTCATTTCTACCTCATTTACTGTAAAGTCTTTATATTTGTACCCAGAATCTTACTATTCTTACTATGTGTGGTAGAACTTTTACGCTTTGCCAAATTTTTAAGTGGGTAACTCATTCTAGAGCTAGTTAGAATGTAACTTTTAACAATACTTCATAAATATTGTTTATTGTTAGATTATATTAACGTATGCAACCTTTCTGTTCCATCTACCATAACAAAAGTAAGTATACTGCAAAAACTGTAATAAGCAATCTAGTATTTGATTCTAAACATACTCATCAACATGCAATCAATCAAAAACAAACAAACAAAAGAAAAACATTTAACTAAGAAATTCTAAAATCTCCTACACTCTGGTGCAAAATTCAGGATTCTGTTTTCATAATAAGAATGTGATGTGTTTTCTTGATGTCACCCAGGAGGTGCTTCGCTGGACCTGAAAGCCTGTCCACCCAAAGCTGCAAAGTGGATACTGGACATAACATGGCTCAACCTGGTGGAGTTGAGCAAACTGTGGCAGTTCTCTGACATTCTAGATCAGGTGTGTGGTCAGATATCTATACACTTAAAGGATCAGACGCATACAGACATGGAACACATTTACACACACACACACACACACACACACACACACACACACATCTGTCGCTTTGAGTTCCCCTTCCTCATTAAATCCTTCTCACTGCTCACTCTTTGCAGTAAACATGTCAATATTTGATTCATCTGGTCTACACACACACACACACACACACAGGCACAAATACATTCACGACCCCTCCCTCACACTGTCGACTGATTGGCAGGCCATGACTGCCCGGGGGAAATTCATGCTCAATGCAGTGTGAAATGAGCTTACTTTGGCAAACTCTAAATCAATTATTGTGGCTGAAAGAAATCAGATTAAAAGCCTTTTGTTTAATTAACCATTTCCAGAACACCACAACTACAGAAATTCGGCTAATCCACACACAAGATTTCATAATACAATGTCATGACACATCAAAAATCCATGCTTTTCGTATCATCATGTTTAGTCTTTGTCTTTAATAATTGAATTGCAAAACACTTTATTTTAGATGCTACGTAGTATATATTGACAGTTTAGTTCACGCAAAATTGAAAAATGTGTAATCATTACTCATGCTAATGTTGTTTCAAATCTGTATGACTTTCTTTCTTCTGTGAAACATAAAATAACATATTTTGAGAAATGTCTTAGTGTCTTTTTTTCAAACAATGGAAGTCAAATGGTAACCAAAATGGTTACCAAAATTTTAAATATAATACAGTATATTGTTCATTAAATAACATGTATAAAGCTATTATTTGGCTTTTTTACCATTTAAAATATAAGTAAAAATAATCAAAATGCACCCCGTAGAGTCGTAGAACATGACAACTTTCCAAAATGATTTCTTGTCAACTGTCTAAATTAGTACCAGATTCACTCACTTTTGTGTATACTTGTGTTAACAGATTGGGCGTCATGAGAAACAGTGGAAGAGCTGGTTTGATCGAGAGGCACCTGAGGAAGAACCAATCCCAAATTCATATGACCAGGCTCTGGACTGTTTCAGACGGCTGCTCCTTATTCGATCCTGGTGTCCAGATAGAACCATTGCTCAGGTATAAATGAGCCCATTGTAAATGCAGCGTATCCAGTGAAGTCATACAATTATTGATTTTTTTAAATATTATTATTTGTGAAACTCCTCACATTGCATTTTTTCATCACAGAACCAAAACAAATTATTTTTGCATACAGATGTTATGACAATTAATTAATGCACAAAATGCCTTCTTAGCGCATCACAAACTCATTACTGTTATCAGCAAAATAATCCCGAACAGAAGAATTCTGATTACAGCATGCCTATTTGCTATCAGCCTTATGTATGGGTGTAATATTTCTTGACCTTCTGGATATCCATCACTTTGGCAAGGTGAGAATTGGTCCCCTGACTGAGCCTTATTTCCCCCAGTTTTTTTTTTTTTTTTTTCCTCTATAACAGTCAGCTGTATTAGTTTCTTTCTACTGTCCTTGCCAACTGTTGGCTTGCTCAGTTTGAGGCTTTACCATTTAGAAATATCAATATGACTGCACTGATCTGATTAAATTAAACTAAATATTTACTGAATTTGACCTGGATAATATTGTCTTTGGTAGAGCTGCCGTACAGCTGTTTTATAGTCATTTCATAATTGATACAATTCGCAACACTATTATATACCTGTTTATTCCCGTGAAGCTTGCTTTGAAACAATCTGTATTGGGTAAAGCGCTATTAATTGCATCAGGGTAATTACTTGTTTTCCAATGTGTAATTGAAAGGCACGGAAGTACATCATGCACTCAATGGGGGAGAGATATGCTGAGGGAGTGATTCTGGATGTGGAGAAGACGTGGGAGGAGTCTGACCCACGCACTCCTCTCATCTGCTTCCTATCCATGGGTTCAGACCCAACAGACTCCATCATCGCCCTGGGCAAACGACAAAGAATTGAGACTCGTTACGTCTCAATGGGTCAGGGGCAGGAAGTTCATGCACGCAAACTTCTGCAGCACTGTATGGCTAATGTATGTTCTTATTCATGCATTTTTTATGCTACTTGCTTCTATCCCATCTTAATATGCAGAGATAACAATAAACTAGTCATTCATGGGTTGATTTTCCCAAAAGTGTCAACACAATGGCTCTGTTGTTGAGTTTACTGTTTATTGAACATTTTCTACAACAGAATACAGTACATTAGCTCAGCCAACCATGATTTTGGGACCACATTATTTGTCTGTTTAACTAATGGAAGAAAATGGAGAGTTTGGGATGCATCTTTGAAAGAAGAGATTTTTTTTTGCAATTCCACTTGATGGCTTTCTTATCTCTCAGTATTTGTGCTCAATGAAGTCTATAAACCTGAATACTTTCTCTAAAACCAAATCTTATCTCTCTCTCCCATTAGGGAGGCTGGGCTTTACTTCAGAACTGTCATTTGGGTCTGGATTTTATGGATGAACTCATGGATACAGTCACAGAGACAGACAGCATTAATGACACCTTCAGACTGTGGATGACCACTGAGGTCCACAGACACTTTCCTATCACTCTCCTGCAGATGTCAATCAAATTCACCAATGAGCCTCCACAGGGACTGAAAGCCGGACTTAAAAGGACTTACGGAGGTGAGCCTGACCTCTCTGGATATTTAGCCTGTCAGTTTTATTTATTTCTTCACTCCATGTCAACTGCAGGCTGTTTTTTTATATCCTCCCTATTTGAGATGAAAAACTGTAGCATCACCTGATGCAACAAATGGATTTGAAACATTTAGATGAATATTTAAAGAGGAGCCCTCAATATTCCAATATCATGAAAAAAACAAAAATCAAAAAAACAACTAGTGTGTTTGTGTTATTGATAGCGAAAGTCTTACAAATTGGTAATGCCCAATAATATCTTCCAGGTATCAGTCAGGATCTTCTAGATGTGAGTAACATGGTCCAATGGAGGCCCATGTTGTATGGGGTGGCATTCCTCCATTCCACTGTCCAAGAGAGGCGAAAATATGGACCTTTGGGTTGGAACATCCCATATGAGTTCAACCAGGCAGATTTCAATGCAACCATACAGTTTGTCCAGAACCACCTGGATGATATGGACATCAAGAAGGTGAGAGTTGCATTATGGAGCCGCTGTGTTACTAGATCGTAATAATTAGCACAATTAAATCAGCTAAACACATCATAAACTTGTTTCAGAAAAATTTTGTAAAGTTTATTTGGTCTAATTTGTTCTGTAATTATACACCTTGAATAATCCCACATAAACTTAAATGAGAACTCCAGCGCAAAATGAACCTTTGGTCTAATAAAACTTTGGTACCCAGTTAACCGTTCTCTGAGATTTGTTTTCATGATAATCCAATGTAAAGAGTTTAATCTCTAAAAACTGTTTTAGTGTATAACACTAGTATATGGGGGCATTTATTAAGTAAAAAGTAATCGCTAGTTGATACCACTAACAAGGCTTAAAATAGCCCCACACTAACACAGTAACATAATGAGGGTCCCTACGTGCAAAACGAAGCATTGAGAACATTGTAAGTGTACAGTAAGTCCACTTTGTGTATACACAGCAGGAGCCATCTTTGGAAAACAGTCTGGACAAGTTGAACCACGAACGCCATGTGGTTCAACTTGTCGAGACTGTTTTCCAAAGATGGCTGAACTGTATGAAGTTCAGCGAACTTCTGAACTGTATGAACAGCGTTCGTGGTTTTCACTTGTTTTCTCCTGCCTGTATACATGAAGTGGACTGTCTTTATAAAGTATCTTCTTATTAAACGGTCTGTACACTTTCAAAGTTCTCAATGCTTCGTTCTGCATGCAGGGACCCTCATTATGTTACTGTGTTAGTGTGGGGCTATTTTGAGTCTTGTTAGTGGTATTAATTAGCGATTTCTTTTTACTTATTATATGCCCCCAATATACTAGCGCTATATGCTAAACAGTTATACAGATAAAACTCTTTACATTCGAATATCATGCAAACAAATTTTAGAGAATGGTGGACAAGGTACCAATGTTTTATTAGACCAAAGGTTCATTTTGCGCTGGAGTTCTCCTTTAAAATAACCTCTATTTGAGAGTCATTTTGAATTATATGGTTTCTTGTCAAATGTGTTTATTATTAAAGTACGGCATGAACATAACCTTTTCCACATCTGCGAGAAGGTCCTTTTACATAAAGTCTATGTCTATGATTTACATCTTTGTCAAGGGTCTATGCAAAAAGTTGCCATAAAAATAGACTCAGCACCTGGCATTTTAATTTGAATGAGTATTTTTACAGGGTGTGTCCTGGAACACTGTGCGCTACATGATCGGCGAGATCCAGTATGGCGGTAGGGTGACTGATGACTATGACAAGCGCCTCTTGAACACATTTGCGAAGGTGTGGTTCAATGAGAACATGTTCAGCCCTGATTTCTACTTCTACAAAGGCTACTGCATCCCCAGATGCAATAATGTGGATCAGTATCTCCAATATGTTCAGGTGAGATAGAAAGTTCCAATGAAACTGCTCAGTCAGTCTCTTTGGGATCAGTCGCTTCTATTTGTTCTACAGGTTTTGTCTCTTTAGAAGGAGGTGAGAAATTGAGGTGAGACTGTGTTGACAATTGTCTGTGTAGACAATGGTGGTTTATTACATAGCAGGGTGACTCCAATTAACATTTACAATAAAAATCTGCCAATACTAACAAGTATTAATATTTACTTTAAAAACAACAACAAGAAAAATACTACAGTGATGCCAAGTAATGTAATAAATTGATCCAAGCAGAAACAAATTCTGCACCATCCTCTGCAAGAGATAAATTATGCAACAGCTTTACTGTTAATAAGCTGTTAATGTAAATTTCAAGTGCATTACAAAGGTGTTCATTTCAGATTTAGTGAAAGTTCTTATTTTCTTCTCTCTCAGAGGTCTCTGGCAAATGTGCAATAAATGGTACCACTATAAAGACCTACCATCACCCCCCTTTCAGCAGAGTTGGTGCGAACATAACAGTAATTAATATTCAAGTCGCATCTGGCACAGTTTGTGCATGCTGACAGAAAGCAATCTGAAGACCAAAACACCAAAACATATATATATATATATATATATATATATATATATATATATATATATATATATATAAACAGAAAAAAGGCCAATCTTTCGTCAACTGTAATGTAACAAACAGAGAGAATAAAGCTGATTCATCAGGCTTGAAAATTGTGCAGCTCAATCAAAGCCACATATATACAGTACACCACTTCATAATAGCCATTCCAGTGCAAAGAGGAACATAACCAGCCTCTCACTGACCTTATTCCTGTTGTACATTAAAGGGTTAGTTCATCCAAAAATGAAAATTAAGTCATTAATTACTCACCCCCATGCTGTACCAACCCCATAAGACCTTCGTTCATCTTCGGAACACAAATGAAGATATTTTTGATTAAATTTGAGAGCTGTATAACTACCACATAGACTTCCGGGACTGGCTCTTGACGGCCCAGAAAGTCAATGAAGAAAATGTTTAAATATTCCATGTGACTACAGTGGCGCAACTATAAGTTTATCAAGCGACGACAATACTTTTTGTGCGAAAAAAACACACAAAAATAACGACTTTATTCGACTTTTCCTTTTCTTCCTTGTTGGCCTGAAACGAGATTTCCACGACGCATGCGCGAGAATTGCGATCTCCTTACACTACTTCAGTTCAGTTCTCGCGCATGCGTCGTGGAAATCGTATGGAAGTCTCGTTTCAGGCCAACAAGGAAGAAAAGGAAAAAGTCGAATAAAGTCGTTTATTTTGTGTGTGTTTTTTCGCACAAAAAGTATTGTCGTCGCTTGATAAACTTATAGTTGAGCCACTGTAGTCACATGGAATATTCAGCCCGTTCTCATCCTTTAACGTCATATAGAACGCTATATGCAAAAACGGCGCTATTCTACGCACATGGCATCCTTTATCGTTAATATAACACGCGAACCCAAGACGTTATAAATCCTTTAGCGTGAATATGACACGCACACCCTACCCCACACCTAAACTTAGCCCTCACAGCACGTGTTATATTAACGATAACGGTTGCCATGTGTAGTATAGCGCCGTTTTGTCATATAGCGTTCTATATGACGTTAAAGGATGAGAATGCGTTGGAATATTTAAACATTTTCTTCATTGACTTTATGGGCTGTCAAGAGCCAGTCCCGGAAGTCTATGTGGTAGTTATACACCTCTCAAATTTAATCAAAAATATCTTCATTTGTGTTCCGAAGATGAACGAAGGTCTTACGGGGTTGGTACAGCATGGGGGTGAGTAATTAATGACTTAATTTTCATTTTTGGGTGAACTAACCCTTTAAAGACAGTGAGTCATGCAAAGCAGTGGTGTCCTCGTGAGAGAAATAGTACAGCTGCAAGCAGAGTACGGCTGAACTTTATTCTGTCTGAGCTGATTGTGATGGATGTTTTTAGTCCCAACTCGCAGCAGGATGATTCTCTCAGACATGATCTCTTCGAGCCATGTCTGTGCACTCACAGCGTACACTCCAGAGCTTTGTTCAGTATGTAACACGCAATGAGCTTATCATTATTAGTTAATGAAACCACTCACAAAAGCTCCTGAAGAAACATGTGAGACATTTTGCTTCAAAAAAGAATATAGAAAATAAATTAAAAAATATATTTCGTTCAGCTGTTCAGTATAAAATCTCTAAGCACATGTTGTTAAGCTTTTGATGAATTATGATGAATGAGCGTGTAATGCGAAATGACTTGTATTGCTGGTACACAACACTGAATGCATGCGTGGATCAACTAATAAACATCTTTAATAATGATTGCTCATCAAAAAGGAAGAGATGTGGGAAAGCATTCATCCATTTATCAAAACTGATGCAGTATGCTTAAGCTTTCCTAGCTAATGAGAGTGAGCTCTCATAATGGTTGTTTATATCATGTGAAAACTGATCGCAAGACACTCATCACTTTATTTTTAGAATATTTAAATTTAGAATCAAAACGTGGACCTTTATACACCAAAAAATAGCACATTTCTTAAGTATTTGCATCTATTTGATTTTTATTCAAATAATCATATCTTCAAAAGGAAATTATTATAATGGCTTAGAATCAGCAAAATCATGTTTATTCTGAAAAAAAAAATCTGTTTAAAAGTATGAACATGGTATTAAAATGGCTAGCTGTGGAACAAGATTCAGTTAGTTAAAATGAATGAGAATGAAACTAGTTTGGTTTTATTAAAAGGGGTGGTTTATTGCTTTTTTTTCCTTTGCATGATTGTGTTTATGAGGTGCAATATACCATGTATTCGTGGTTTTTCTTTTTTAAAAAGTCTTATTTTTCATAAATTTCACTGTTATTGTAAGCCGCTTTCTCCTCTGTCATTTGAACGACTGGTCTATGAAAGCACTCCCCCAGAAACAGGCAGTGGGCTCAGATTGGTTAGTTTGGGCCGGTGTGTTGTGATTGGCTAAACTGTAGTGCAAGTTGTCCATAAGGTTCCCGCCCATTACCTTTATGGGCAAAGTTGCATATGTGTTCCTGTCAAATATAAATAATGGTGTCGATACTGCAGTGTCAGTATGAGCCAGAATCAGTATGAGCCAGAATCAGACCCAGAAAGAGAGGCAAGCAGAACCTCACCACACACGGCTCTTACAAAATTCACGTCCATAATGTTTGTACGCGTTTGCCGTAGACACAAAATAGCATTACTAGTAGCCTAGTGGCTATAAAGCCAGCGCTGGCATTTGATAAAAATAAAACACAAGGCTACGTCTGAAATTATACATGCAAATTAATTTAAAATGATTAAGTCTTAGCCTACTAACAGGTTGTGGCCCAACAACTGCTGCCTCTGGTTTTCAATTTGGAACTGCTTCATGTTTTAGTAACAGTTTCTTATTGAATCCAGGATTGAATTCGTGGAGATTCTGGAAGCTGTCTTCCGTAAAATGCGCTGCACATAGATAAATTACGATTGTCATTTTCAGGAACATAGTTAAACTTAAATTGTGTCCATTGTTGACGAAGTACAGCATCCGTGGAAAGCCCGAACACAGAAGACTTGACAGCTGGGTGAAAATAACACACTTTTTTGCATATTCCGGAGGGAGGGTTGATGTAAATGGATGAGTTAGTGACGTCTAAAACCCGGCTATAGTCCCAATCGAGTCGTTTTTGTGGGCATTAAACTTCCCGATTTTTAAAAGACAGTATCTCTGCTTACATTGAACTTTCAGCGCTGCAACTTTGCAGATACTGTTCATGCACCAACAGCAACATTACACACTATTTAAAATATAAAAAGTGAAATCGCAATCAACCCCCCCCCCCCCCCTTCAGCGCTGCAACTTTGCAGATACTGTTCATGCAACAACAGCAACATTACACGTTATATAAAATGAAAAAAGTGAAATCGCAATCAACCCCCCCCCCCCCCCCCCCTTAATGATACATTTATAAGCTTATTATGTATTAATTGTGTATTTCATGTTTTCGGTTTATCATTGCTGTTGCAGAAATCAGAAATATGTCAAGTCAAGACACCTTTATTTGATAGACTGTATTTTACAATACAGATTGTTTCAGAAAGGGTTTACAGTAATAACAGGAAGATAATGTAACAAAGTTTGTTCCGACTTTACAGCTGATCTACAGTAGGTGGACAACCAGAATGTCGTTTACCGCCGCGGCAAGTGCCGCGGTAAATCTACCGCGGCAAAAATAAACCAGCAGTATTTCAAAGTCGGTGGAGAAATGACCACCAGGTGGCGCAAAGGGACATTAAGCGAAAGCAAAACGTATGTAGCCTACATTTTAAATGGAATATAGCTTTAACTAGAATATAAACTTTTAGGCTATAGGAGAACATTTTATTAATCAAAAGTTAAAATAGGCCTATCTCGCAGTCAGCGAAAATAATTAAAGTGCTGCCCAATGACGCTATTGAGGAATGCAAAGACTGAAGAGCGCTTCTCTCGCGTGCGCACCGCTCACACTGACTGCTGAACAACCGAACATCTGGGCTTTTGTCAGTGAGAAAAGTCGTGGTCGAGTGGTAGAACTTTGGTACACTTATTTTGATGACACTGTTTCAAATCCCGCGTAAACATAAAATTACCTTGCATTTCTATTTTACATTTAAGGAACAAATCTCTTCCAATAGATTGACTGAATTTACATCTTCAAAAGCAGTTATGTAAAAAAAAAAAAAAAAAAAAAAATTCCATGTAGATTTAAAAAAAAAAAAAAAAAAAAAAAAAAACATAACCAAGCTAAGCAAGTTGCGAATTGCCGGTGGGTATTTCCCCCTCTAAGACAATATCAAATATGTGTATATATACATATAGCCTACATATACATATATATATATATATATATATTAAATATGCAACACGCACGTTTGAACAACAAATAGCCTAATAAAATCTGAACCAGCGCTTCTGCGCCTGTATTGAGACATAACATG